TCGTGCGCAGGTCTTCGTTGTGCCGTCACTGCCCCTCATCCCACTACTGGGTTGGCGTCGCCCTGACAAACCCTGTGCTTGGAAGGCAGGGCGGGGGTGAGGACCCCCTTCCCGAGGTCAGTCCCAGCCCCACAAAGCGCCCTGAGGCCTTTGGGCTGGGGCTGTCAGACCCGCCATGGTCACACTGCCCTCTCCCCCCCGCAGGGCGCTGCAGTTCCCTCCGGAAGGCTGGCTCCGTCTCTCCCTCAACAATGGCAGCATCACCCACCTGGTGGTCCGGCCTGATGGCCGAGTGGCACTCAGGGCTCTTGGGGACACGGGCTTCATGCCTCCCGACAAGATTTCCCGCTCCTGAGGCCGCTGCGAGGCCAGTGCCTGGCTCTGCTGCGGGAGCCGGGAACAAGGGCCGTGTCCCCTGCCTTCCGTCCGCAGGTGGCACTGCGGTCGCTGTTTCTCCAGGATGAGGCTGCGGAGTGGAAACACCTGCCACACGGCACATCGTCATCCTCCTGCCCAGAGTGGCAGGGGGCGCTCGGGCCCCGCTGCCGGGTCTCCCCAGGTCCTCTGCCCCAGGCTCACCTACTAGGATGGGCCTGTGGGGGTGGAGGCCCCGCGGGGCCCTGCAGGTGTGCACCGGGGCCTGTGGCCAGGACCGCGACCGCAAGAGGCAGCGAGCCCATCAGGCTGAGGGCGTCAGGAGGGCCCGGCGCTTCCATCCTAATGTCTTTGCTTCGTACGTTCTTTTTGTAAGATCCTCTCGTCACTTATGTTAAAGACTTTCCTCACCTGGGTTCTTTTCTGAAAACCGATTCCTCGCTCCGGAGTTACGCACCCCTGATGCTACTGCATCTGAACTCACGTGTCTTCAAGGCCTTTGCGGACATGGGCACCCAGGCAGGTGGTGGGGGCCAGGGGGAGAGGGTCCTGTTTAAAATATCCAGCTGATGGCTGAATCTTTGTTTGCCTCTAGCTGTTAATCTTTTATGCTTATGGATGAAAACATTTAGACACGACATGTCCATCATAAGTATTCTGTTAATTTACCAAAAACCCTACAATTTCTGCGAAGTGGTTATGGACATTTTCTGCTGTGATCAGTGCAACTGAGATATTTGATCCATTTCTGTTAACTTGGAAATAACTACAAAATAAAGTTTTATTTTACTGGTTTTTCAAAGTTCTCATTGTGAGTGTTTTAAAGAAAACAGGAAGCCTGTACAGCATGACAAATAGCAGCCCCAAACTGGCTGGAATAGTTTCAGCAGAAAGCGCTTTTCTGCAGTGTTTTGTGTACCCAGGGCTGGTGGCTTAGCCAGAGAGCTGCCACCAGGGGCCTCGGTGAGAGGCCCTGACCCCGGACAGTGAGCTCGACAGAAAGATGGTTTTCTAGAAGCAGCAACTGTGCACCATGTCCTAGTAGTTTTTGACAAGTGAGCCAGGGCCTGTGCCAGCTCCCGAAACCACGTAAGTACGGGTGGCATCACGCACGGCCTGAGTGCGGTGAGGCCGGGAAGTGAAGGAACCCCCGACCTACAGGGCCTGAAGTGGAAGTGGCGGGTCCCTTCCCTGTCCCCTCAGGCCTGCCCACTGAAGACCCGGCCCGCCTTCCTGGTGGCACTTCTGCCCTTCACACTTGAACTTTGCAATAGGCAGCATTTTAGGAACCAGAAAGGAGCCCAAGCAGGGGGAGGCAGTCAAGCAGCGTGAGCAGGGTGTCTGGACGGGGTCCGTCCCAGGGGCCCAGTGACATGACGGGAACTATGGCACAAGGTGACTAAGAACTTTTGAAGTGTGGGTAACAACATCCTAAGTAAGTTTGGCCAAAACGAAATGGCACAGTGGGACCCACGTAACGTGAGGGAGCCTGAGCGGACACCGGTAAAGAACTTTTGAAGTGTGGGTAACAACATCCTAAGTTTGCCCAAAGTGAAATGGCACAGTGGGACCCACGTAACATGAGGGAGCCTGAGCGGACACCGGTGGAAGCAACAGCTCCTCCTGTTATGTTGCTGTTTATTCCAAGACACTTGTTTTTGAGACAGCTGAGGAAGGGACCTGAGTGCAACCTGTAAACTAAGAAGCGTCCGGGGATTTGTGGACAGATGCGAAATGTCAGTGCCACACAAGGAGCATGTGCCTTGCACAGCCCAGTGAGCAAGCTGGCCCAGGAAGTCAGACAGCGACAACCCTGCCTGAAACCACACCTAAGTGGTAGCTGCCGCACAGCCCGTCACTTCCTCTGGAAGCATCTAGCGACCACTAAGGACCTGCCCACGCGGTCTCTGGTTTTTGCCACATGTGGCGCGCACTCGCCTCACTGCCTGCCTCCCCTGCACCACACGGCAGCTCACTGCACCTCTTTCGAGCTGAAGAAATGACACACCATCTGTTAACGTCACAAGACAGGCTTCCCGTTTCAAAGGACGGTTATGAAATTTATGCCATTTTAACTGGTGCCAGAAAGTTTTCACAACTGTTAGGAATGAAAGGGGCCTGAAATAGCAAGTAGACCACTGTTTCACCGAAACACTGCTCAAAATTTTACTAAGGGCATTTTGCCCGGTCACAGGTGAGAGGTCTTTCTGGAATCTTGGAATTATCCCTGTGGTTTTTAAAAATATCCATTAATTGGTTTTAAAAGAACACAAAAATCACCGTAGGACACGTGACAACACAATCACCAGGACTCAGGCCGCCTGGTACAACAAATGGAAAAATAGTCAAAGGCCTAAAACTTCAGAAAACAAGAACAGCAGTCTGCAAAATCAGGGCAAAAACACTTTTAATTTCCATCTGAATATTTACAACATACACGACAATAGGGTAAGATTTTAAGGGAAAACATCAGCACTATGAATATAACACCTGTAGCCTGATTTCGAGAACAAAGACGCCTGTTTAAAATGCCATTGGTTTTTACAACAGAAGGTACTTTCTGTCTTATAGATCTAAATTGTCTGCTACGCTACAAGTGAAAACACCTTGTGTAACAACCTTTTGCATTTTAAACTCTGAATTTTGATTCTCATACTCCTGACCTGTCTCTTGTTATGTGAAAAGACTTATTGTGAATGAAAGAGTCTCATGCCTACGTAGTATCTCCCTATATTATCAAAAAGCAAAGTCAGAAAATGCAAACGATATACAAAAGGCACTGAAGTCAGCAGAAGCGCTGCTGGTTTTTCACTTGGATGTGACGCTGGAGCACTCAGAATGCCGTGTGTGTGAGCAGTGGCGTGGAGCACCTGGAAGGAACCAGCCCTCAGCATGTGGCCTGGCCTTGGGTGTCAGCCGCGGCACAGGGTGCACACACGCCCTGCGGAGGTTAAGGTCCAGGGGAGGCCAAACTAAACCACACTCAGGTAACCGAACCGGGACTCAACCCTGTCAAAAACACTCTAGTTTCCACACTAAAATGCGACACTCTCATAAAGGAAATCCAACCGAAAGGAATCCTAAAATGTGGGATAACTTCAGAACCAGGGGCCAAATGCAGAGCATCCCACGACCCCCCTCCCCCCATGGCAACGGCACAAAGTACACTGACAGGTGACAGTGAAAAGGAAACGCGCCTTAGTGGTGGCGGCTGCGTCTCGTGACTATTCACGTGAGTTCCAATGGCTATAAGACTTCTTCCAAGAGGAAAGCTAGTTTTATCTTTCGGTCACTAATTTAAATGTTTTTAATGACCCCACTGTAAGCATCGCTGCAAGTCTAAGACAGGCAAAGCTCATTTACCCTGACACCATCTTTTCAATTTGTCTCGCCAACTGGCATCAAGTGGCAAGAAGAGGATTTTTCAACTAAAAAATCAAAGACCCTCCCAGAAAAGGAAAACGTCACAAAATTCATCTGTTTCACTCAGAACCGAGTTGGAGCGCTGCCGCCACGGCCAAACCTGACTCGGGGTCGCACCCGGATTTCACAGTGACCACGAGTGCCCTGGTACCCATCGGTCACACGCGCACCCAGGAATGGAGACCTGAAGCCTGTCACCACCACGGTGAAGGCCTTCAGAACGTCTGTGTCTGAGTTTGCTCTCATCTTCTAAAATATCGGAAATCTGAACTTTATACAGAACATCCGCATTTTCCAAAAATTTTTTACTCTCAAAATGAGGATTAATAAAGTAATCAGATTATGTTCTTTTCTGTGAACTTTAGCAATAAACACATTACCCTTCTTTCTTTAAAAACGACCCGAGGGCCCCGGAGCGCACGCCAGCTCTCCGGGGGTGCCAGCTGGGCCAGGCGCACCACCCCCCGTTGGCAGGGCTGTAGCGCCCCGGGCTGCCCACACCAGGGGAGTGCGGGCCAGGCTTCCTGGGGCTGCCCCTCACGTGGCCACTCCTCCCTGGGCTGCAGCTCTGTGGGCGACCAACCTCTGGCAGCTGAGACGTCATCTTCCCTTTTACCGCAGGGCTCGGCCAACTGAGGGAACCAAGAAAGGTGTGTCAGCACGGACGGAGAGATGGGCCAGGGGGCAGAGGTCACGGCGGGACTTGGGCTCCTGCCAAGCCCCGAGGGATGGCTGCCACTCCAAGGAGAGGCCCCTTGGACCTCGGGACCATAGGCCCTGAAGACGAAGAGCCACTGAGTTCCGACAGGAGCTCACGCAGCCCTGACCGGAGTCCCAGGGGCGTCCGCCCCGCACCCCTCACTTGCAGCAGCAGCTCTCCACCCCTCTGCAGCCCTTGCCTCTGAGGTTGGGGGCGCGCCACGCTAGCCTGGTGGCAGCTGTGCCCGAGTCCGCAGCGAGCCAGCACATGCCGAGTCGGGCAGGACATCCCGGAAACCACCCACGGTGCCGCGAGGCAGCCTGTCCGGGGCCCCACCGGTACCTCTGCCTGTCAGAGGGCGAGTAGCGCAGGACGGCGCTTCTCCACCTGTGCACGGCGGGGTACTGCCGTGGGTCCACGTCGGCACACTCCAGGGCTGCCAGAACGTCCCGGTCCAGTTTTGACGGCTCCTCTCTAGGAGGCAGAAAAAAAGGGGGTGCGGAGATGCTGTGACCACAGACACAGAAGCCGGCACCACTGCATCCTCAAGACCTCAGCACAGGACAGAACGGCGTGCAGACACACGTCACCGCAGCCCATCACCGCCACCTCAACGTCAGCGAGCTGTGGGGGCTGCCGAGGCTACGGCAGCGGAGAGGACGTGCTGACCCTGCTGTGGAAACGCAGCCCTGCTATTTCCCTTTGTAAGAAAACAGCGTCACCGGTGAGCACACGCTTATCTGACAGCGTCACCCGCGAGCACACGCCCCGGTCTTACAGTGTCACACATGAGGAGCACCCCCCCCCGCGATTCATACCCAAAAAGGAAGAGCCTCTGGACGGGCTCCCTCGTGCTGGGGGTCTCCAAGGGCTCTGCGGACACAGAGCTGCAGCCGTGCTGGGGCTCACGCCCAGGACTGGAGGGACTCAGGCATGTTTTAGCGATTCCCGCCGACGTGTCACTGTCTGTCCTTATTTGGCTGCTGCCGAGTCTGTCAGCATCAGGAGGTCCTAACAGGTCTCTTTCTGCGTCTATTCTTGACGTCGGGGCCTCCTCGTCTCCAGTTTGCACGGTGTGATTTGGTGCCTTAGGACAGCTACTTCCTCGAGTCTGCAAACCGAGTTTACCGAACTCGGCAGTCAGGCCGGGGACAGGCGACACGAGGGCGCCCGCCGCGCTCAGGGCCTCCGGTCTCTCCCCACCCGGAGTCTCGCCGCCGCTCGGGGGGCCGCAAAACCCGTTCCTGCTGCTGTGGGGACTGGCTGGCGCCGAGGCCTCTATGCGGTCTGTCCTCTGCTCCGAGGGAAAGATGTTGCACCCCAAATCTCTGCAAGCACCGACTGCGGGCGGGGTGTTGTTTCGGGCTGTGTTCTGCCTATTTTTCACCTCCTCCAGGCTCATGTCATCACCCTCGTCCAGAAACGCCCCCACGGAGATGGAATTGCTGCCCTTCCTGCGACAGCCTGGGAGGGAGGGAGCGAGAGGGAGCAGCCCTTCAGGGCACGGCTGGGAGTCCGCGGGGCGCACTCCGCTCAGCCGCACGCCCCTTCTCAAAGTCTCCTGCTCAGAGACTGCTCTGGAAAGAGCGAGCAAGACCCTGCGAACGGGTCCGAGCCTGTGGGCCCAGCTCCCCCAATGAGGGCCAAAAAACGGGAAGGAGGGGCCGAGGTCAAGAGCAGGCCCCTGTCCCATCTGCTGGGACGTCGGGGCGCAAAAGGGAGCAACAAGCGTTTGCGTGTTCGCAGGGACCAGCTCTTGGTCCGCAGTTGCAGGATGGGGTCTGGGTCCCAGGAGCGCTCAGCCACCCGTGTCCTCACCGAAAGCACAGGTGTTCTGAAGACAGGCCTCGTTTCCTCCCCGGTCTCGTTGGGCCTTCCCGCCCACTTCCTGCTGCGCCAGATACTCCTCCAGCCTCCGCAGGCCCTCGTGGGAAGACAGATCGACAAAGCAGCCCAGAAAGTCCCAGTACTCGACCCAGGGGTACCCTAGCTCGTGAGCCAGCTCCCTGCGAGGACAAAGCACATGTGATCAGCTGGGAAATGGGAACAAAAACACAGAACTGCTGTCACGGGAAACAGCAATTTAGTGCTGGAATCTTGGTTACGATTTTATTTTATCCTGAACTGGGGACTAAATCGGTTCTCTCCGTTTTCTAAAGCACTGCTTGCCCGACAGGGTGAAGCCGAGCAGTTCACTCATCGACCTGTCACGATGGAGTGAACCAGCCATGGGGACGGAGGGGGACCTCAAACCGACAGACCTCAAAGGTAAAAGGTCAAACAGCAAAATACGACGGACCTTTAGGTTTTCATGAAAGAATCACATAAAGTTAGATGTGATTCTGGTTTTGGGCAGGCACAAAGAAAATTTAGAAGGCCTTTTCGGGTTCAAGTTGTAAACCCAAAAGTGGGCACATTATTTTCAGAAAAAATTCTAAAACAATTCAGTGATGCTTTATTTGATTACACTGTAATTTAGCTTCTCGACTGTAGAAAATATGCTTTTCAGAGTTTTTTTTAAAACTAACAGTTTCTAGCTACACCTGAGTCTCATGTTCTATTTCCTTCTTCATTGTCAAGCACCCAACGGAAGGCACCTCATCTGTGACACTGTCACATCCCTCAGACACAGGCTGCATGACTGCCCTTCCCTTGGGAGGACTGAGGCATGTGTGTGGGTGCAAGGCTTCAGACCCTCAGGAAAAGGCTGCAGCACTCTAGGAACTAGCACTCCGAAGGCGCAGTGCTTAGAGTTCCCGCCCCAGTCCACACAAGAGCACAGCACGCAGAATGACTTCAGCGCTCAGCTCATCAGCCCTGCGACGCCCTGCCTGTACCTTCCCACTCTCTCGATGCCTCTTTCCGGATCTGATTTCCTGACGCTGTGAAAGAAGCCTGCTTTCTCTCGAGGCGGCGTTTTCCAGAGTCTGCGAAAATCTTCTGCCTGTGGAGAGAAAAAATGTTGGGCTCCGCTGTGAATCCGAGTTGCCAGGCAAATGAAAAGTAGAAGCAGCATCACAGTCACCTGGGCGCCCCCCACCCCCGGCATTCCCCCTCACTCCCCAACGCACCCCAGGCAACATGCCTGCCTGGCCGGGAGCTGAGACCCGGGGGCCGCAGAATGCCTGAGGTGACGGGGGCGAGGAAGAGTGAGCGGCCTTTCTCTCTTCCTGCAGCCCCGGCTGGGCAGTGAGGGCCAGAGCTGCCCCAGGAGACCCCAAGGAACACAATACAGAGCTACCACCAACAGAGCCTCAGTCATTATCCCATCACGCGTAAGAAAAAAACGTTTTTAAGTTGCTCTTACTAGAGTTTCATGTTTCATGCAGCATCTAATCCTAAATGGTATCGCTTATTTCTGAAAATGTTTTTATAGCTGCAGGTAACTATCTAAAATTTTTTCCATAAGAAAAAAAATTACATACAGTTCAAAGTATGAAACATCTCAGTCTAGAATATGAACTTCAGAATTTGCTAACGGAAGTTCTGTAGTGACAAGTCCAAGAATATTGGAAAGGACAGCCCAGCTAGATTGGCAAGGGCCAGTGAGATGGGCCATCAACACTAACGAGAGAACTGGGTGACGATGACATAGGGAGGGTTAGCCCAGGGAAATGTCGCTTCTTTGAAGCATGCACTCATTACCACATCTGCCCTGGCTAGCAAGTGAGGAACACGTCAAGACACTTGTATCTCCAGCAAGCATTTTGAGCCTTGTCACTAACTCGCTGGGGTCTCCTGAGACCTGGTCTCGAAGACCAAGCACAACGAAGAGGCTGGCACACCCAGCACTCGGTGGGGACAGCCAGAGGCTGGTCGTAGAAGCCCCCACACCAGCTCACCTTGGCTGGACTCAGGGGCCCCGCGAAGGCGCTGAGGGTCAGAACGGGGTCTCTGGGGCCGCCCGCTCCATGGCTGGTGTGAGAGGCCTCAGCCGTCTGGTCTGAAGACCACAGCTCCCCGATCACCGGGGAGGACGTGTCCTCGGCTCTCAGGAGCGGCACGTAGAAGTGGCCTGGAAGGAGGACACACGCCAGGGCTACAGGAACCGGCTTCGACGGCCGTTCCCCGTGGTGGGGGTGCGCGGCACCCAGTGAACAGCCTGCGGGACAGCACGCTCCTCACGGCACGGGCCTTGCGAGCGATGCCATGAGGGAGGCGAGAAGGCCGGAAGGCAGGGCTGAACCCCACACCCCTCCTCTAAGGGGCCCCACACCCCTCGTCTGCTGGGAGAAAAGAAAGGAAAAAAAGAAAGAAGGTGGGCAACGAACAGCTCCTCACCCCCAGGCACTCAGAAGGACCGAGACGTGGGACCTGGGCGAACGAGACCAGCGCACGGCAGGAGCCTGAGCACCGCGTGCCTGAGCACCACGGAGCTGACATCCGACCCCGCCCCTTTTGTATGCTCCAATGTGACATCACTGAGCACACGTTGCTAAGAGGCCTGGGATCACAAAACCCTCTATGTGAAGTCCAGAAAGCGCATAGGCAGTGCAGTGAGGCCACGGAAGGGGCAGCAGGGACGCTCAGGGGACAGTGCATAGCCAGGCTGTCATGTCCCAATCAAACCATTTACAAAGGCAGGAGGTGGCAGCAGCATCTGCTGACTCCTGCTTTAAATGGAGACCAACAGGGATTTGGATCAGAAAGGACACTCAGAGAAGAAAGGTATTTGCTGCAATGTCAAGCGGGCCGACCAGTCCTCTGGCTACAAGCGACAAGGGCAGGCACTTTTGCTGCCATCCTCTGAAACTCCCAGGAAACAACAGAGGAAGACGGTGGCAAAGGCGTGTTCTGAAACCAGCCATATTCACAGTCCCGAAGCCACAGCCCACACGCTCCTGCCAGGAGGAGCGAGGCCCCAGGGAGTGGCAGTGGGCCTCCCGACCTGAGCAGCCAGGTCACGGTGTGGCCGCTGGAGGGCCAGGGGAACAGCCCCGCTTTGCCCAGGAGCTTGGGCGTGGCCCCTCCATTCGCTTCTGTCTGAGAAGGGAACAGATACACCGGCTGCGGGAGCGGCCCCAGAGGTTAAGGGGTGAGGGCAACTTGGTCTCCCACGGAAGGTCAAGGTTCAAAGGAGAAAGTGCACGAAAACGCAGGGACTGGGGTGGGAGGCCAGGAAGCAGGGTGACCTGAGGCCTTCTGAGCGGGGCTGACCTGCGACCCTCCGCTTTGCTCCCAGAGCACAGCCAGGGCCTCCCCAACAAGGGACCCCAACGTCCAGGCACGACGCCTACCTTACCCTTTAAATATTCTCTAATCCGCTCCTTCAGTTCCACGGATTTATTTTTGCTTCTTTCGCAAATGACCTATTTAGAAAAAAAGTGAACACTATATCTTAATTTTCTAATCAATGAGATTTTATAAAAGCAAGTTTTAAAGTCAACCATACAAGGACAGTCAGTATCTAACACTGAACATTTCATAAAACCCACAATCAAAAAACATGTGTTGAAGAAAATAATCTTCCTTCTAGAATGTTTTGGACCAGCTTAAGAGACCACGACGAGAAGAAAAACTCTGAGAGGATGGGGAATTCATCTTCTCTCTTCATGCTATTCGACACTTTCTGCTTTTCTGCCAAGGAAAGGGACCCTGCTGCACACTACCGGGTCAGCCGGCGACAGACGCTTGCACTTCTCCTGAGTCCCGCTGCCCGGGAGCTGCTGCCGTCTGGCGGCTGGAAACAGAACGCCTGTCTAGCACGAAAGCAAATGTTTCTTTTTTGCAAATACAGGCATCAACTTTGTTAGCCCTTGAAGAATTGTAGTGACAAGAACATTTCTGCTAGAAAATAAAAAGCCAATGTTCTTTAAATAAAGAAAGAATCACAAAATTACCATCTCCTACCAGCCTGTGAGAAACAAAATGCAACACAATTGTACAGTATATCCTGTGAATAGTGCAACTAAGTATTTAAGTCTGTAACTGACTGAGAGTTGTCAAATGCTTAAAACATGTTACCAAATGGCACTGTATACTGAAAAAATGTACATACACATGCACACACAAAAAACTCTGCGTCAGATACATGCAAAATAACAGTAATTTCTGAGTTGTATAATTTTCTAAATTTTATTGTTTTGTTTATGTGTATTCTAAACTTTAAACAGAAAGTGGCACTACTTATGTAACCATAGCAACTACAGAAAAGAACCTATTTCCAAAGGGCAGGCAGGTCCAGGTCAGCTAACAGTTCTGATGGATGCTCAGTCCACCTCCCTCTCCCCTTCACAGGCACAGACGCACCTCTGCCCTCTCTAAGGCACGTTTTGCTCAACTGCCAGTACAGATCATGACCAGGGCTGCTTCAAACGGTTTGTATAGGTCAGGTGAGAACAGATGGGAGGAGGGAGGAGCTTAGGACAGCACTTGGTGCATACGGAGCTGAACTTGTCAGCTGTTTTCAACATCACCACCATCACCATCGCCATCACCACCACCACTGCCATCGCCATCACCACCACCATTGCCATCGCCATCGCCATCACCATCACCACCACCACCACCACCACCACCACCACCACCACCACCGCCATCACCATCACCACCACCGCCATCATCACCACCATCTCCTCTGTTCTCTTTGACTCTAGTCAACTGAGGTGTGTACAGAAGGAACTTGATAAAAAACTGTGAGCTGTTAAGAACGACTGACCACCAATTTCAGGAAAATAAAATCTGCAAACTGGGACAGTTCCTTCTGTCCTGGCTGTACAGAAGCATCTCCTTCACAGAGAGCATCTTACTCAGCAGTCAGGGTTCTGAGGTGTGCCCATGAGGCAACCAACAAATTTACAGTCAAGAGTTACTTGTGACTTCACAGTAGCTAGGATCTTAACTGTAATTTTATATAGTTTCGTTTCTGACACTATACAGTAACAGCATTTTAATAGGTACTTACGTCTTCAGGTGTTTTATCATATTTATTCCGGGGGTCTTTTACAATCAAAGGGTGTGAAGATAGCACGTTGACCACATCTACGTTCCCAAACTTACAAGCAAAATGCAGCGGTGTGTCGTAGCCCTAAGAGGCACAGAGGAAGAACACTGATTTCTAATTTACACCCCTTTGTTTCCAAGGTTGCTATACAATGAAAATACAGATTTTGAAAAAAACCCACAAAACCCTCAAAAACAAAAGGTCATAAAAAGACACTTTTCATAAATGAACAGTAACTAGCATGCTACTACGTGTTCACTTCATGCCAGGGCTTGAGCCCAGCACCATGCCCTAGTCACCATGTACCTAGTGCCTGGGGGCCCAGGTCTAGTGGAGAGCTTACGACCGAGCCATGGCATGTCGCCTGCTCAGTAAACAGTGGATTCAGTAATTCAGAGCCTCTACAACATCTTATAATCAGTGCTAAAAAGCGAAATAAATAGATGAAGGCAACATCCAGAATAAAGCAATGTCTTTGAAATTGGTCTGTACTTAAAGAGAACTCTCGCCAGCAAATAGCACCATAAACTAGACCAGTGGTCCCCAACCTTTTTGGCACTAGGAACCGGTGCTCCTATGAGAATCTAAGGCCTGGTGATCCCAGGCGGAGCTGAGGCGGGGTTGCTGGCACTGGGGAGCGGCTGCAGATACAGATGAAGCTTCGCTCACCTGCCCGCCACTCACCTCCTGTTGTGCGGTCTGGTTCCTAACAGACCATGGGCTGGTGGTGGTCCAGGGGTTGGGGGCCCCTGAACCAGACTCTCCACTCTGGACTCTACAATGCTTCTCAATGCTCCACTCGCCTTTGGCGGTACCCTTCCCGGGCACCCCACAGCGGCACCTGTAACTGCTTCCTGCAGACCAGTGGGCTGAGGGCCCCAGTGCGCTCGAGCCCAAGAGCCGGGGAGCCGACCACCTCCAGGCGCCCTTGGTCAGATGGCCACGGGCTCCAATGTAGCCGTCCCCATGGGTCCCATTCACATCGACGGAGCCAGAAACGCGGCCGTGCAGTCCACCAGCTGCCCCCGCGGCCACGGCTGCCGTCTCCTCAGCTTTCTGCTAGGTGCCGAGACTCCGGATGGGCTCACTCCCGCACCCATGCTCTCAGCTCCGTGCACCCAGCAGGTGACCTGCATGGTCTTATGCCAGGAGACATCTCTAAGTCAGCCCTTGCCCCCTGCTCCAGACTGCACCAAAACATTTTTAACCTCTCTTGAGATTTTGGCTTTCACTGGGCCTCTCCTGACAAAGGTTGGGAGGGCAGTGTCCTTCGAGCAGCACTGTCTGGGCTGAGACCCACGTGCACTGCCTGGTGAGGCGACCGCTAGTGTGAGGGGGTCTTGTTTTCTAACCATCGTTCTGAGCTCTCTGGGCTCCACGAACGTGTCTTCCCTGCCCCTCCACACGCACTGGCACGGTGCAGGGACATAGTACCTACTCCTCCAGGCACACCGTGAGACTGGCCGTGACCTCCGCCGGGGCAGGGACGAGGGCACACTCACTCACCACTTTGTCGGGTGTGTTCAGGTACAGGTCGAGGACGTAGCAGATGCGCTTCTGCAGCATGCCTGGGGCGTCATCCGGGTACATGAGCCGCATGAAGTCGGGGTCTTCCAGCGTCTCGAGGGTCAGCTGGCAGATGGAAGCCTGATTCTCCTTGGCAGCAACATGCATGACGTTGTACCTGCATCCCTCCTGAAGGAGAACCACAGATCCTGAGCTTCGTTTCTGTCACCCGGTCTCGATGCTCCCGACGCGGGAGGCAAGCTCACCTGCACGATGGTTGGGTTGTCCCCTGACCCGATCAGGTACCGGGGATTACTCCAGATGAGGTGGGAAAAGGCGTCTTCTTCTCCCTGCTCCACGGCCTTCCGCAGTTTGGCTGTGAGGTCTTGCGTGCGGGGGTTTTTGTAACTGTTCGCTCTCTCTCTGTTTACTGCTTCTGACTCAAGTGAATACAAGCCATCTGTTACGAGAGACGGAGTTAAGGAACATTTAATCTCACAAACATTTTCCCCTACGTGCTACACTGAGGGCGATAAAACTCTCTCCCAGAGGCTTACGATCTGGCTGGGAGTAACAACAAGAAACAATGACAGTACAGAGGGATGAAGTCCCAGCCTACAGTGGCGGCACCAACGCGCTGCTGTAGCACGTGAGCAAAGACTCGATGGGACTCCATCCGGGAAAAGGCTTTGAGAAGGGGTGTCGAGCTCAGCCGGTGGAGGAGGGACAAGGACACGTGGCCGCCAGCACACCCAGAAGCCGTTCGAAGCACATGGAGCTTTCCCGCAAAGGCAGTGAGGCGAGAGGGACTTCTGCTGGTTTAATCACGACACCTGAGAAAGTGTGAGAGCCGGCTTCCTGAGGGAAATCGTCACAAACTGCGAAGATGGAAGCTGTGTGTTTGAAATCACCCTGGTTTCCCTGTCAGGCCAAGTTAGGGAACAGAAGACAGGAGGCAGACGGGACTCTTGACTGGTGGCCAAATGTCCCCAAGGGGAGGGCCTCCCTCTGGAACCCCAGCAAGCCTAGAAGGACCACTGAGCTCCAAGAGGGGACAAGCCTGAGGTCGGGCCGACATTAAGGCCCCTCACGAGAGCACGCTGTGGGAGTCGGAGTGGTCAGATGTCTGCCTAGACGGGTCCTGCGGGCAAGCCCAACTTCTGCCGAGTCGTCCGCTCAAAGCAGGTGGAGCTCCAGGTGGGAAATGGACTGGGCTCAGCATCGAAAAGGCCCTGAACCCGATGGGCAGCGGGGAGAGGGAAACAGTGGGCGAACAGAGTGGGCCACGGCAGACTCTCGGCTGCTTCTCCCACGGCCTCGTCAACTTCAAGGCCGAGAGCAGCTGACCGGCCTGCTCGCCCCCACTGCCTCCACCCTCATGGTCCCCACTCCTCCCAGAACTGACCCGCAACCCATCCTCTTCTGCTGCTCCCCAGAGGGGCCTTCCCTTCCTGGCAAACCGGACTTCTCTCAAAAGCGGAGAAAACGAATCGCCATATCAAGAGAGATGACACAAAACCCTGTGGGGAAACGTGACAGGGCGCCCCGATGCGGGCTGCGGTTTACCTTGCAACCCGTCGCTGCCGAAGACTGGCGCTATTTTCACAGGAGACAGTGGTAAAGAGGCTTTGCCTGGGGAAGGGAAATAATCACTAATTCCTCTAGCAAATTTCTCAGCATCTTCTCTGCTGGAAAAAGCTTTAAATCGGGAGCCTTTGATCATTTTGACAGCTTGCAATGCTTCCTTCTTATCTTCGTAAACATGAATCCTTTCTGTGTGGCAAGAGTAACAATAGGAAAGTAAAGATAAGTCACTGGAGCCGTCGTCACTCACACGCTCCTGAAGGCCCCATGTTTAACAGTAAATAGCTGCTATCCAGTCGTCTCATTTTCTTATTAATATTCCAAATTTTTAGTTTTGAAGAAAAATGGCCTTACCTAGCTAAAAGAACATAATAAACTTGATTATCTATGTGTGTGAACATAAATAACATGATACATATTTTACACATGCATATAATTTTATATACTATTCCATACTAAAAAATAAATCCATGGATTTTGATCTAAATAAAAATAACAAAAGAAAAGCAAGTTAAAAACTGTGAACGTGAAGAGAGAGTTCCAGACGGAGCCAAAGGCAGTGGCTGCACATGCCTCCTCTAGCGACCGCCCCACGATTACGACGAAGCTACAGAGCAACCAGTACGCGGGTCACCAGAGGTCTGGCTGAACGGAAGCCCTACAACTAGGTCACCTCGAATAACAGGCCACCTCGAAACAGCAGGAGGGGCAGACACAGAACGGCCCGGTCCCAGATCCACGTGTGGCATTCGAGAACCAGGAGGGCTGTCGTGGCTGCAGAGCCACTTCCCCCACCTGAGGAGCGAGGGGTCCCGGCCACACAGCAGGCTCCCCAGCCCAGGGGTCCAGTGTTGGGAAGAGAAGTCCCCGCCGCCTCCGGTGTGCGGCTGAGGGAGAGGAGGGCTGCAGGAAGCAGGGACCTTCCTCTTCGGGGCCCGCTGGCCTTACTCGCTGGTGGACTCGCCGCTCTGAGCTCCCGTGCCGGGGCAGCTGCTCGAGGGGCGCCAGGGACACGTGGGGAGGTGCTGAGTCGTCGGGCTTCGGGGCCAGGGCTGGAGGGGCAGTTTGCTCCTGGTCAGAGGTACAGGCAGAAGCCACTGGTCCTCTGTTGAGTACTACATGCTCCCCGCCTGCAGATGCAGGCGACACAATCTGGATAACACAGGTCCCTTCGTCCAAGGGACTCCCTGAGACCCTGCCCTTCCCAACACGTGGGCCCATGCAAGCCACTTCCAGTGATTTCTTCCACACAAACAGACTGCCTTGGCTCTTGCTGCGAACGTTCATAAATCTCTCAAAGGCTCAGAAAACTCAAAGAGGCAGCATCTGGCCTCACTGCGCCCCGTACTCTTGCTGAGCAGCCCCACGCCCTGCACTGGTGGCCGCCAGCCTCGGTTTCCGACCTGGCCCCTCGACGCACCTGTAAGCCCAGCACGCGTGGCAGCCGTCTGTGGGTTGCTTGGTGACTCTTTTTTTTCCCCCTTCTTTAATCCCCCCACCACTTCCACCCCTGACCCATGGATGTTGCCGTTTCCCCTTAAGAACTGGATCTCTAAAGGCGGGTGTCCCCTCGCACATGCACGCGGCGTGCACCCAGGGCCTGGCACCCCTGGCGCACTCAGGGGGCCTGGCGCATGCGGGGTATGGCTCCACCTGGGGCGCAAACCCAGGACCTTCTGCGTGCAAAGCAGCCATGCTAACCACTATACTGTGGAGCCACCCCTGCTTGGTGACTCCTACCAGGTGGTCCTAGAGGTGCACAGGTTGCAGCTGAACCTGGCCTGCAGCTGGGCCCCTCCCAGGTCTGTGCCAAGGGGTCCCACAGGACACTACATAGAACCACTCTACTAAGGCCGGGAGACTTAGGAGCCCTACCTAATACACAGAAGCAGACACAGGGAGGCAGCCAAAATGGGGAGACAAAGCAGCATGTTCCACATAAAAGAAAAGAACAAAGCTCCAGAAAAAGAATTCACCAAAATGGAGACAGCAGTCTACCAGATGCAGAGCTCAAAACACTGGTTCTGAGGATGGTCAAGAAACTTAGGTAAAGAGTATATGATCTCAGCGAAAACTTTAACAAAGAGATAAAACACACACATAATGAAGATGGAAAACATAATAGGGAGCCAGTCATAAATGAAGAATACAATATCTTAGATAAAGAGCACATCGGAGGGACTCAAGAGTGGATGAACTGGAGGATCGAATCAGTGACATAGATGACGGGGTAGCAGAGGGCACTCGCCCAGAACGGCAACAAGAAAAAAAGAATCCAAATAAATGAAGATAGTTTAAGAAGCCTCTGGGACAACGTCAAGCATACCAACATCCACATCACATCGCAGGGGTCCCCGAAGGAGACGAGAGAAAGGAACCGAAACCTATTTGAAGAAACGATGACAGAAAACTTCCCTAACTTGGCAGCGGAAATAGACATACAACCCCAGGAAGCTCAGAGAGTCTCAAACAAGATGAACCCAAAGAGGCCCACACCAAGACACACCATAATTAAAACGCCAAGGGTTAAATTCAAAGACAGGATCTTAAAAACAGCAAGAGAAAAGCAATTAGTTACATACAAGGGAACGCCCATAAGACTGTGAGCAGATTTCTCAACAGAAACTTTGCAGGCCAGAGGGCTTGGCACAAAGAGGGCTTGGTAGAGTCATCCAGGACCTACGACCAAGATGACTCTACCCAGCAAAGCTATCATTTAGAATCCAGGACCGATAAAGAGCTTCCCAGACAAGAAAAAGTTAAAGGAGTTCATGACCACCAAGCCAGCATTACAGGAAATGTTGGAGGAACTTCTTTAAGAAGAAAAAAATATGTATCGAAAGTCTAAATAAAGAATGGTAATAACTAAAACAAACAAATTAGAAAATTCTGATTATATAAGAACAGAACTTACAGAATAGAGAGCACATAAAAATATGAAAGATCCCGCGTGTGTGCTTATTCTCAGCTGGTCTGCCAAAGACCCTCTGAGCGCCAAGCCCAGGCCCCCGTGCGGCCCTGTTTCCTCTCCAACAACATGACAGAAACTATCACGAACCAGGAGAAACGTGCCAAGCCGCAGGCACCAGTGCGCATGGGTGGGAAAGGAACTGCTCGCAGAAAGAAGGGGGTTCACAGAACAGCTACAGCAGATGATAAAAAACTTCAGTTCTCCTTAAAGAAGTTAAGGGCAAACAACACCTCTGGAATGGAAGAGATGAGTGTGTTCACAAACCAAGGAACCGAGATCCACTGTGACAACTCTGACGTTCAGACATCTCTGGCAGCAAACACTTTCACCCTTACAGGCGACGCGGAGACCAAGCAGCTGACAGAAATGCTGCCCAGCATCTTACGCCAGCTTGGTGTAGACAGTCTGACCAGTTTACGGAGACTGGCTGAAGCTCTGCCCCAACAATCTGCAGGTGGAAAAGCACCCCTAGCTACCGGAGAGGATGATGAAGATGAAGTTCCAGACCTTGTGGAGAATTTTGATGAGGCTTCCAAGAATGAAGCAACCTGAACTGAGTCAACTTCCGAAGAAAATAAAACTTGAAGAAGTTACTGGGAGCTATTTTATATTACGACTGCTTTTAAAAATTTTTTCGTGGATCTGATAAAATCTCATCTGTATTATTAATTTCTAAGCCCAAGCCCCTTGGACACCACAGCTCTTTTCAGTTTTTGCTTATACACAAATCATTCTTTGCAGCTAATTAAGGTGAAGAAGCCTGGGAATAAAGTTTGAAACAAAGATTAATAAAATTCTTTGCCTGCTTAAAAAAAAAAAAAAAAATATATATATATATATATTTTCCTACAGGATAAATAATCTGTCATGTCTATGGTCTGGTTCTGTAGGGGAACGAGCATAAGTTCTGCATGAGTCTCTCATATAGACATAAAATACAAACGACAGAACAGGAGAAAAAAATTTTAACTGCTATAACAGAAGAATGGTAATGCCCACTGCCCAGTAAAAACGGTCAATAGATATGACCAAGCAATTCATCAAATACATACATACGGAGTATAAGCACATAAAAGACGTATCGACCTAACACAAGATAGAGATTTCCCTTATTCAAGAGACATAAAGCGGAGTTCGATAACATGCAGAATGACTGACAGACAGAAACAAGACACCTGTTCTCCCTTTCTAGGTAGTTTGCTATACTGTAGACAGGATGGAAAAGTCACTCTCTCGTGCACGATGAATGGTAACACCTTTGGGAGGACGCTAGCTTTCAGTTTTAAAAATGCATACCTTCTGACCCGACACTTCTTACCATTTTTACTAAAATAAAAATGATACACACACACAAACACACACCCAGAGGCAGTTATGGAGTAGTTATTCCTAGTAAAAGTTGAATAGGGAAGAGAAAGAAATTTCACATTTCCTATACTGTGTGTATATATATATTTTTGAAAAGTACCTTTTATACTAACAGAGATTAAAAACAAAAATAAATTGCATCATGACCATATCCAGTGTCATTACATCTTCTCTAAAAAGTTTTGTGGTTGAATAATATTCCATTCTACTCAAGAGACATAACATGTCTAACTACTCTCCTATTTTGGGGCGCTGTCACAAATGATACGTAATAGTAACGACTGTGCAATCTCCGATACTCTAATCGACATCAAGTTTCCATTACTTCTTTCCAATGCCATTTTGGTCTTGTTTCAAACTGCGATCCTTTGGCGTTGAAAATTATTCGTACCTTCACTGGCCATTTACATTCATTAACATAAAAGGTGGTCAGGTTATGTTGAAAAAGAAAAAAAGGAGGCAGACGGTTAGTTAAGAAACTGTGGCCAGCCGAAATATTTGTAAGTGAAGTACACCTCACAGAATCCAATTTTCTTAATTTAAAAATATCCACAGATTTTAAAAAAATTTTAGGTGAGTTCTACATAAAAATGCCAATATTGGTTACTTTGGATGGAGTGTGGTGATTAAATGATTCTTTCGTCTCTGTCGTCTGAGATTCTAAAATCGCCTCACCCCAGCTGTCCATGCGCGCTCCCGCCGCCCCCGATAAGAAACGCCACTGGCGCCTGGTACGTTACCATTTCTCGCCGGGGCGTCCTCGTACGCAGGGCACACTCCGTAGTACAGAGGCGGCTCGGCAGAGGCCCGCACCATGGCTCTGTGGCCATTGACCTGAGCCGCAGCACTGAAGGGCACTGGGCAGGTCTTTGACGTCAGGTCTTCTTCCTCTGGAGGATTCAAGCCCACGCCATAACCGAAATCCCGGTCTTCAGAAAAGCTGGGCTGCTCGGCCAGGCTCCCTACCACAGACTTCAAACTCCTTTGTGTGCCCTGGCTGAGCGTGGTGGCGCCTGCGCTGTCCTGGTCGAGAGGGTGTGAAGGCGGTGCTCCTCCATGCTCTAACAGAGCCTGAGCCAATTTTTTCTCAAAAATGAACCTTGTGGTCGAGGTGATAGGTCCACATTTCAATCCAGCTTTGACAATCTCTTTTCTGAGGTCGTCTGGATTCAGCAGTTTCAATCGCGCCAAGATAGCATCCATTGTCATTTCACCTAGGCCCAAAAACACAGAAATCAATTTGATGACTAAGTACATCTTTTCTTACTTAAAAAAAAAAGTCTATGGCCATGCCACACTGAACAAGCCCAATCCCGTCCGATCTCGCAAGCTGAGCAGGGTGGGGCCCGGTGAGTACCTGGATGGGAGACCACCTAGGAAGACCAGGTGCTGTAGGCGTAAAAGATAAAAAATAAGGGATTGTAAGCTGACAAGGGCCTTGCAATCTGTGAGGTCAACCAAGGGCTGCCTCGCCTTCAAAAAAAAAAAAAAGAGAAGTGGCAAAAAGCTGGCTTCGAAGTTTCTTTTCAATCCAGTGTTTCTCCGCAGTCTCTGGAGTCTATGAACTTCCTGAGAATTTTCATAAGCTTTTGTTGCCCAATCTAATGTAATATAAATAAAAATAAGCAGTATCTGGGTCACTTGGATAAGAATCTTACAACGCGGTACTATCACAGAAGGATCTCGCTAACGTGCTGCGTAGACAGCGCACCGGGAAAGCAGGCACACTCCTGCGTTGCTGTTCGGAGTGTAACTTGGAACAAATCCCAGGGAAGGCAACTGGACAATTTCCACCCCAACTCCAACTCCAGGTGGGAAATTCTGCAGCTTTAAAACAGAGGACCCACACAGATAGCTCTGGCAGTCACTTTGCTAATAGCAGCAATAAACATCTCATGTTGGTTTTGCGGGGCTTTCCACGTGCCTGGTTCTATCCTAAGCACCCCACATATACAGAGTTACTTAACAGTGGCAGTGTCTCCATGGGGCATAGTTCACCCACACTTTACAGATGAAGAACCCAAAACATAGAGAAGCTCAGTAACTTGTGTAAGTCACACAGTTACCAAACAAATGGACTTGAACTGGAGCTTTTGAACGTGGACAAATAGCAGTTAAGTCCACGGAGGACAAGTTTAAGCGTGGTAAGTGAGAATCGGGGGAGAAGGTAAGAAATGACGGGGCACAGACCACTGCTGAGCAATGGGGCCGGAGACGAGGGCCCATGTCAGAACGGATCTTAAATACGGAGGGATCAGATGCCATGGGAGGGGCTTGGGGGACTGCAGCCGGCCTGGGATTATAGCGAGATTTCCAGTCTAGGTGTCTAGGAAGTGACTCTACCTGAGGCAGAGAGTAATGGAGAAAGAAATGGAGATTGAGGAACTGAGCATCAGAAATACCTATTGCACACCACGTGGGCACCTCAATTTTCAAGTCTGAGATTCAGAAGACAAGAAGTTCACAGTGGGAAAACAGATCTGGACATCGTTAGCACAGATGGTGGTTATGATACCAGGACACTAAACCAGGGCAACAAGGAGCAAACAAAGGCAGTGAGCCTGAAACGGAATCTGAGTGACATCAAGGACTAAGACAGGAAAACAAGAAAACATCAGACGTATTAATGCATCACTGAAACCAAGAGGAGGTGGTTTCGAGAGGTGTTTACAGATTAAATGATAAGACAGCCGGGATTGTCTTTACATTTGCTCCAGTAGGAGAACAAAACAGAGGGGCTAGTGACAGGTACAAGAAGATTCAGAAAATATTCACGTCTGTTGTAGCTGGACGACGGGAACCAGGGTGCATCGTATCATCCTATATGTGCATTCATTCTTTTTTGAAACACTTTATGATGCCACCTCTCCTCACCTGACTTCAATATTTCAAAAGTGGCTGTTATATATTTTCAAAGGAAATATTAGTCCTCTGAACAACGAACATATTGCACAGCCCCCTCTAAAGCTGCCAAAGAACCTGAAGGGGAGGCACCTAGGCGGATTCTCTGTGCACCTGGATATACAAGCAACAGAGGTGGCTCAGGAATAATGAACTGACAGGAAAGGCAAAGAGTAGGTCAAAGCCACATGCAAGGCAAAGCTGAGAGGTGGGGAACACTGGGGCAGATGCTATGAATAAAAAGAGGAACTGAATCTGCTCTCTTTTTCATACTACTCCCGTGTCCTTACCCTAAAGCTATCTTTTTAATATGAGCTAGTGTGAAGGGGATTTTGTCCTTGTCATCAAGCAAACCCTAAATAGAACAATTACATTACATTATAACTGTGTGACTTTGGGCAAGTTATGTAACATCTAAGCTTCGGTTTCCTCATCTACAAAATGGACATAATAGTTCTACTTCTTAGGCTATAATGAGAATTAGGTAAAATAATACACAGAAATTAACCATAAATGTCAGTTACAGCTATGATAGTTAAGCTATTAAACGATTTAAGCTTATTAATCTTGTAGAATACAAGATTATTATTCTCGTAGAATAATGCTAGGAAGTCAACTTGGATAAAAACAAAAAAGTGCATTCTGTTATTGATATTCTCGCAGCAATATGCAAGTATCTGCTGCCTGTGCAAAGCAAACAAAAGATGAAGCAGAAACGAATGAGACCGGCTACTGCGGGGTGGGCTGGAGCTCCACAGGGAAAACGGACCGAGGGCCGGGGCGGGGGAGAGCGGCACTGCAAAATCTAACTGCTGTGACTCTTAGAAACATATTTGTGATTCCTACTCAAAAGATAAACAAAAGAGGCGGGGAGATTCCAAGTGGAAATGCAAACCAAATCATATGAGCTCAACCGCTTTACAAAGTAGTAACATAATAAATGCGGAGAGCCTACTAACTGGAAAACAACGTGTAACTATGAACTAAAGACAAAGACAAAAGCGGGGCACGCAGACACCGCACTACCATTGGTAAGTGTGTTTTCACAGTGGTATCAGTTAGCAGTCCTGAGGCTATTTCACAGGCGCTCTAGGACTCCGCAAATAACTGGATAAACTATGGCTCATGAGAGCAGCTTCCTCACTAACAAAGAAGTTACAAATAAGGAGAGGGGGAGGCTAGAACATGGTTTAGCAAACTTTGTAACAGCAAGGAGGTACATTTGAAAGCTCTGAAAGCCATAAGGTCTCTCAAACGCTCAAAAAAGCTATAGATGAGAGTGTGGCTGTGTCCCAGTAAGACTTTAGTCAGAAATACTGGGGGCCAGATCTGGTCTTCAGGCCATGATTTCCTGACCCCTGGGCTAGAACTGGAAATATCTGAGTGACCTTGATTGAGAGATTGGTAGAGACACAGATAAGACAGAAGTACAAGATATTTGGGTCTGCAAATCGGATACTTTCTAGTCTCCTACAGTCGTGTTAATATGTAAGATACTAACATCAAGGAATATAACTGAATGGCATAGGATTTCTTTCACCCTTTATTTTGAAATAATTATAAACACAAGAAGTTGAAAAATAGTACAGAGATCACGTGCACCTATCACTCGACTTTCCTCAATGGCGACATCTTATACGCTGTGGTGCATGACCCAAGCCAAGTATAGCACAATAAACTAGCCCACGGGCGTTATCAGTCTGAGTCATTCTCTTGCTGCCTCTGTACAAAATTCCATGAGCGTTTGCCACCCACATACCCACCGCCGATTCCTGAACTGTTCCACTGCCACGAAGACGTCCCTCCTGCTCTACCTTTATTCATAACCAATCTCCGCTCCGCTGTCCCCAAGCTCCACTGTCCCCAAACCTCAGCAACACTGATTTGCTCTCCATCGCGATACTTTCTCTTCCAGAATGCTAAGTGGAACACTTGCCCTTGAGACCTACCTAAGTTGCTGAGTGGGATCAACAGCAACTGTTTCACTGCTGGGTGGCATTCCATGGAACCAACATGCCAGTCTGTTTAAACACTCACTCCTCAAGAGACATCTGGGCTGTTTCCATTTCTTGGCAAGTAGAAATAAAGTAACAAAATCTTTATGGTTTCGAGTGAAAATAAGTTTTCATTTCTCTAGGATACGTGCCCAGCAGTGCAGTGCAGGTTTAACTTTTTGAGAAACTGCCAGATTTTCAGAGTGGCTGTACCTTTTAACATTTCCACCAGCAGTAGACGAAAACCCAGTTTCTCAGCAGTTAGTAATATTGGTATTTTTTATTTTAGCCATTCTAGTAGGCATCTAGTGATATCTCATTGCAGGTGTATTTTGTACTTGGCTACTGGCTGGTGGTGTTGGACACCTTTTCCCATGTGCTTCTCTGCTCTGTACTATTTTTGTAATTTTTATAAGTCTACAATGATTTCCAAGAGAAAAGATGAAATTTAAAAAGAAGTTTTTAATGAAAAAGACACTCCAAAGTCTAATTTCTTAGACCCATACTCTACTGGTCACATATATCCTTTAGCCTCAGCATATAGATAATTTTCAGCCTTGGTGTCCGTCTTGCACTGCGTTTTTAAGCAATGTTGACAGTGTAGCCGGACAAGTCAGCATTAAGGTGCCACGCAGAACTTTCAGCAGCCCAGCAGAACGAGGGACTAGCTGGACCTGGTGTCTGTAACACGCTGAACATTTCCAGCCGGCCTCTGCCTCCGTAGGTGTTACCTCCGCGAGAGCTGGGGCTTCCCCAGCCTCGAAGCCACCACGAGGGGTACGGCGTCGCTAAGGACCCTTTCGGCCCTGAGAGTCCAAGGCCGTCCGTACTGCCTTCTGTTAACAAGGCTCCATCCTCCCAGCAGAGTGCTTGAGGGATTCCTGGTTACTCCCCAGGAAGATCCCAGACTGGCAGGCCAGGGGTGAAGGATCGTGGACAGAGGCGGCGGACGCGCGCAGGGCCCGGTGCCCCGCGCGCGGCACGGCGGAGCTGAGCACCGATGGCAGGACCGCGGGAGGGCGGCTTCCCTGTCCGACCGCCACGGACACCGCCCGGGCTCCCTGCCTCCGGCCTGTCCGTCCGCCTGCACGCTGGGGACTCCAGGGCTTCAGGCCGGGTCTACTCCCAGGACACCGGAGCGAGGCCGAGAGCGG